CTTATTTTGTGTTTTTGTAATAATTATATGGAAAATACTACATCAGCAATTACTTTATTACCCTTTAAATTTATTTATGGAGATTATCCAAGGTGCTTCATGACCCATAATTGGGTCCCAAACCCAACTTTGGGAACCAAAGYGCAGTGGTTCCCAAAGTTTTCAGCTTTTGACCCAGAAAATAACAGTAGCAGAGACCTGTGCCCCCAACTGTTTTTGTATGATAAACATTTGTATCAGGTCAACAAAACATGGGCATAGTCACAATATTTTTTATATTATGTTTACCCATTTTAAATATACTAACCTCACTCCTTTGTAACAACTAAGGCAAAAATGTAATTAATTCAGAAAATCTTTTCAGGACTCCATCTTGATGTTTCGGGACCCCACTTTGGGTCCCGACCCCAACTTTGGGAAACACTGCTTTATACAACACTGCTTAGGACACTAACACATAAATGTTACATACAGCCAAACACTATAGTACCAAACTGCCTCTAGTTTTCCTGCTAAATTACATAAACCTATATTATGTACTGAACAACCTAATAAATCTTTCTTTAATCTAATAAATCAAATGTTGTGAGAGAAAATACATTTTTTAAGAGATGTAAAAGGTTTATTTGACAAGTGTGTCAAACTTATGTCTTGGTTTATATTGTCATGCTGTCACTGTATATGTTGTAAAGTTTGACCATTCAAACACACATCCCACACAGTGCTGTGCACGCCAGCATGCTACCAACAAAGTCCCAGCTTTAGTGACATGATTCAATTGAAGAGCGAAGAACGTCACACAAGACCACTAACAACAGCCCATATTTCTAGGGTTCCTACAAACCCTGCATCAGCATGGCAGAAAACAAGTGCAGGCCGGGAGGAAGGGACAGAAAAAGGGAAGAAAGATCAACAATTGTAATTATTTCTTCTTTCTACAGACTATGCAGCTGCTTGCCAGTGGTCTAAAACCACCAGCGAAAGCTGCAGCGTCCGCCCCAGACACCAGCTACAGTTCTCAAACTATCTTTAGCTAGCATTTACAATCCACCACATACAATTAGAAAGAACATTAAAGTCTAAGAAACATGTCTTTATTTTCCTCTAAAGTCAAGAAAAAATATCCAGCATGGCCATCTGCTTGCTCTACCCCAGAGACCAAGTTAAAAGGGACTTAGTTTGCGTTAATGATGTTTTAAATGAGGTTAAGATGATATAAAGCGAAAACCCCGGGAACAATGGATCAAAAGAAAGAGTAAAAGCACTAAAGCTGAAAGAAAAAGGCAGGATGAAAGAGACTGAAAAAGCAAAAGGAGCCAAGATGAAGTCAGTGAGATGGATATCCATTTACTGGCTTGCTTAAAGTCACAAAGGTCATGGCATACCATAAAGAATCAAACAGAAACAGAAAAAAATGTGTGACAGGGAAGAGCTATTCCTTTATTCTTAATCCAAGATAGTTATAACGGCTCTACATGATGGAATATAAAAGGTGAAAAAAGGGAAGACATGTGAGGGTGTGGCATCAGAAAAACAAATGCTCTGGTCTTTATTGTCTAATTGGCTAAACTTTTAGCAGATCTGGCACGTGCAACGCAATTACAAAAGCGAGGATCAAGAGAGCGTAGACAAGAAGGAGACACTAGTTGGTCGGATTTTCAAAGCTCCAGATTTCTGCTCTGGTTCTAAAGATGGGAAAACTGACAACGCCCACTCTGAGCTCTGAGTGCACCCCTTCAGGTTCCAACTGCTAACATTATGGACACTTCCATATCAGAACATAAAAATATATTAATTGTCATGCTTGGCTTTTATTCTTGGTACATTTTTTTTATTAGGCGTCCCCTCAAAGTGGTATTGGGTCACAGTGGTTTCTGTGTTAACCTTGAGTCACTGGCTGCTGTGAGAGACTGTGGAGATGCCACCAAACGGAGCATACGCATGTATTCCCACTAATAATAGCCTCCCGAATAGCCTCTGCATATTTTAGGTCAGAGTATTAACATAAAGGAGACCACAGATACCAGTGTGTGGGAAGGTGATGCCCTTTACAGAGACTCTCAGCACCCATCTTCTCATTCATGGCATACTAACAGCAGCAAATCATTGTTGGCTTCTATTGGCGACAGCTACAAGAACAACATTTAGATTTTTTCAAAAACAGATAAAAGGGAAACTAGTATTACTTGAAAAAATGTAGCTTGGTCGCGGCACTGCATGTCAAAGTTTGAAACAAGAACCTTGTTTTATTTAATGACGCTCATTAAATGCACCAGGGATGACTCTCAGCTATTATTATACTAAATTTAAACTCAATGGGTCTCGTGCAAGAACATTTTCATATTCTTATCCTAAATTTCTCTTTCTTTTTTATATGAATGGTTTGTAAAAACATGCCACCTTAGAATCAACAGAAGCTTCTAACTTCAGGAAAAGTGTGTAAATGAGCAACGTAAAAAATTGAATGCCACCTATTCGTATTCAGGTGCTTGTACATGAAAAGAGGAAATTAACATAATTACCATTCCAATAATACCATATAAGGCTATGCTTCCTGCCCCACATACCAGGAAGTGTTCACTCATGAAAACTGGTGAATGCGACAAGTTCTTCTAAATCCCTCCTACGCACAACTTAACAACAAATCTGTTCGTAGGAACAGTTCTGCCATGAGACCCAATATCTTTAAAAGAAAATAAGTTTAAGCCATTTTGAGTTTGCTAAGGTTAAAACTGCGGCAGCTATCTTCAAATCCATCCAGTGGTTTATGAGAAATTTTGCTAAAAGACAGACTAATACACACATAAGCACTGACATAATTACTTGCAACAGGTGATAACTCAAAAACAAGTCCCAAATAGATAAATTAATAAATATTCATAAAACATCTACACTGCAGATACATAATCTTATCTCATGGACAATTCTCCTGTTGCAGCATGGAACGACGGAGGATGAAATAAATTAGTCTGACCATTAAAATGATTCATTTTTACAGTCAAATGAATTTATTTTATTGCCAAGATGAAATGGAAGTTAAAAGAACAAACGAAATTTCAGGCTTCAAAAATTAAGAGGAAAAACTGCGATAAAGAAAAGTAATTTATGGTTCATTTTTAAAATTATGCCATTGTTCCTCTTAATCTGAATTAAAATAAACATAAAACAAATAAGGACATTTCTTTGGACTTACTGTATTTAAAAATAAGAGGATCAAAGATCTCCGACATTTCAAGTGAATGTAGGTCATGCACATCATCTACTTATATCACATACTTTTGAGACGCCCAACATATCTACATGTCAACTTGAAGCTTTTCTATATGCTGTCCGTAAATACAATCCTTGAGTTATGCGCTTGACAGACTCATCAGACGACAAGGATTTAGGTTTATTTGGTTCAGGGCCAATGATATCTATCACAACAAGTGGTAACAGAGTAGAAACCAACAGGCCACGAGGGAAT